GGATCCTCACGTTCAACACCACCCCTATCAAAATAACAGCTTCCTTTTTGCACAAATTGATTTGGAAATTCAAATGTAAGTGTAAGGGACACACATTATCAAAAATAACCTTGAATAAGATCAAAGTTGAAGGATTCACACTTCCTATTAATAAGTGAATGTATTTTAAAAAAATCAAAAGCCAAAGCCAAATATCAAATTTCCCATTTCACTTCTTTAAAAATGAGTGATATTCCATGTTTCTCCATAGCTAGCTAGGGTCTTCCACTTTGCTGCAACTTGCCGTGACCACCATCTTTAGCTTAGTACCAAAGAATAGAGACCTGCAATCACGCTACTTGATTTCTTTTATGAGTATTTATGAACCAGGAAAATAACTCCACACTTCCTGTGCCCCAGTTTCCTCTCTCATAAATAGAAATTACTGTAGTATTTATTTCATAGGCTTATTGTGGAACTCGAATGAATTCATGCCAAGTACTTGTAACTTTATCTGGCATTAAGTAACTTTCTAATAAATAGAGGCTGTATGATTATCCCTTCATTTTATTTCTACATACTTAGTCTTATGTGCTGTGGAATAATCCTTCTGTACACTATGAAGATGTGTTGCTCTCATTGTTAATAAAAGGCTGATTGGCCGATGACTAGGCAGAATTTCAGGGGTAGAGAGAATGCTGGGGAGAGGAAGAGCAGAGCAGAAGAGACGCCGTGAGAGGCAGAGCAAGCAGGTAAATGAGCTTGGGGCAGCACACAGATGAACAGAAATGGATTAATTTAAGTTATAAGAGATAGCTAAAAAAATAAAAATAAAAAAAAGAGATAGCTAAAAGCAAAGCTTAAACTATTGGCCAAAGCATTCATATTTAATATTAAGTTTCTTTATGGTTGTTTGGGAGTGGCTGGCAGGACACAGAGGAACTGTGCGTACAGTTATTAAGAGTTTGCTTTTAAAATTCTAGGTTTTGCTTTTTAGTTTTCTTAGTTTTAATTAGTATGTTTTGCATGTCTCGACTCCTGTGTTTCTCTTGTCACTCTCTAACTTTTCCTATTGAATGCTTAGATAACTCATTATAGACCTTTCTTCTTTTCTGATAAATGCATCTATTATAATCTTATGACTTGTTGCCAATACTGCTTTAGTTAAGCCAACATTTGTGTGTGTGTGTGTACTTTGTTGTTATTTTGTTGTTTTCAATTTAGTACTTCAATTTCTAATACAATTTTTTTAACCTATAAATATTGAGGGGTTTGTTCCTCTTTTGTAAAAAAGAATTATCTTCTCTCTTTTTAATGATTTGCTTTGATTGTTTGTGTGCATGTGTGTGCACATGTGTGTACGTATACATGAGTGTGTGTGCATGTGCATATGTGTATGAGTGAATTCATGTCACGTGTGCATTAGTACCTGAAGAGGCCAGCAAAGGATGTCAGATCCCTTGAACTGGAGTTACAGGTGGCTGTCAACTGCTTGACTGAACTTGGGTCCTCCACAAGAGCAGTAGGTACTCTGAACTGCTGAGCAATCTCTCTAGTCTGCCCCATATTTCATAGGAAATGGAAAGGGAGCAAGAGAGGAAGGGGAGAGAGAGAGAGAGAGAGAGAGAGAGAGAGAGAGAGAGAGATGAGTTGGTGCCTCTTTTCTAAACTGCTTAACTCCGACTTCTTGTTTGCAAACAAGGAAAAGGAGCGTAGTATATGAGAAGCAGTGGTGGGCATGCATTATCTTCTGCTATGCTGCATGATTGACTTATTTAGATATGTTCCTGCCAGAGAATCAGTACCAGGAAGGTGGGGACTTGGCTGACTATTCTGTTCACTGCCCTTGTCCTGGCACCGAGAGCAAACACACCAGAGAGGAAACAATATATGCAAAAACTTTTGTTAAATAAACATCAACAAAGCAAAACCTGGATAAAGCTCAATGATTCCTCCAGGTGTAAAAAAAAAAAAAGCACAAGAATGTCCCTGGGTGATTGCTATTACCTCATTATTACTATCTGGCAGCAGTGGCTTAAGGTGGCAGTTATTAATGAGAGGGTTTAGGAATGGCAGCAGAAGTGACATACAGGCATTCATGAAGGAATTTCTTGTTCATTAATCTTCTTTGCAAAAAGCCAGTTTGGGCTCTTTATTTTCTATTTAAATAATTCCTTTGGTATGTATTAGTTTCTCCTCAGTGTTGGCTGCAACCCTATTGTTTTCTGACTTATTTATTGTATCAAATGCAGAGCCACCGAAGAATGGGATTGCTTATAAATCAGCACTCAGGTTCCAGTTGGCAAAACCAGTGAACCAACTAAAACTGTCGACGACATCAGCTTCAGAGATGAGCCCACTCTAGGAACCAGGAATCAGGTCTCTTAACGTCTGAAATCTCCAGCCAACTAGGAAGGTCCGCACTGTCTATGCAGTCGGTGTCTTGGAGAGGGAGGAAACAAGCCCTCATAAAGCAAGGTCCTCAGCCTTCCAGAGTTTCAGATAAACGTATTCTCGGCAAACATATTCCCCCCAGCAGCTTAAATATACCAGTATAGTAGTGTGTACTGACAACTCAGTCCTTAACTTCAGGATTTGTTTAAGAACAGGTTAGCTGGTGCCTGGCTTGCTGAGTGTGACAAAGGGCCCATCTTTTTGTTGTAGTGTTGTGCAGTAGAGGGGGTAGGGCCTCCTGTTGGTAAATGATTTTATGGATTAAATTCTTATTTTAGGGATTGCCTCTTAAGTTCATTCCCACTGCTTGATCCTTTCTGTAACCACTTCAAAAGAGATGGTGTACTTTCTTCTGCAGTTTCCAACACAAATGCACTACACGTATATAAAATTTTCACAGTCATGTTCCTTGAAGCTATTGTTTACTGTGCAGAGTGAACTGTACTGAGATGCCGACTGGCTTCTCTGAACTGAATTTTCCATGGAAACTGTCCAGCGCTTCTCTGATTCTCAGGCACTTTATCTGACAGTCTTTCTTCCTGCAGATAATGGCTGGCAGCAACCCCACAGCGCAGAGGTTATATGCTGTACTTTAGAAACAGCCTTGAATGGAGCTATTGTACCCCTGAGATGGTCTGCATGTTTGACTGAACAGAGAGCAGGGTGTAAAAAAGGCACCTTGTATGCAACTGTTGGCAAGGTTGCGGAGTGAATTAAAATCTCCAGAAAGTCTGGGCAGTGCTGTTCAGAGGGAGCAATGAACCCTCTGGAAGTACTGTTAGCTCAGACATTCCAATGCGGTGAGGCAGCCTCAGGGACCAGGCTCCCTCCAGTGGCATTTACTGAGGGGGTGAGCGGAGAACGTTGATCTGGATACTCTCTTTGCAAAGATTTGGGAAAGGCACCCCTTCGTAGGGGTGGAGCCTGTGGGTCATGACACTTGGGTGGCCAACTCTCTGCCTATGGGACCTACATTTGTCTTGGTTCTCGACAGTGCGGAGGTGGCGATGCTGACTGCCTGCAAACCCACCACTTTGCAGCAATCAAACTCCCACAACAAATTTTAAAAAAAGAACAACCAACTGGAAGTCTGGGCATGGACCAGGTGATGATGATATCTGGATTACTAGATTTATGAAATGAACTCTAAAAACCACAGTGTAGTTCTGTCTGATAAATAAAAGTCCACGCTGCTTACCTTTTAGTGAAAGCATCTCTTGCTTCTCTCTCCACCTACCTGTCCAAGTCTGGGGTTGGGGTAAAGGATTGTTTATTTCTCATTGGTCTAAAACTAAAATCTCAAGTGCTTATGAACAAAGAATTTCCCTCAAAGCCTTCTGCTCAGGCTCTCTGGACCAGCTCTCGTGGGAGGCGGCAACATTAGTTTTCATTAAAATCCTAGGGGTAGGAAAACAGCAAAACAGAGTAGGGATAGGGCTGGCAGGGTTTTCTGACGGGCAGAATTCTTTGGCTGTCTCGTGCATTCTTGTTCCAGCCTCTCCTGGGCTCTAGAGGCTCCAAGGAGGGGAGATCTTTTTCAAGAGGGACCTAAGCTGAACAGGAGCAGAACCCGAGGGAGGCAGCCATGATCCAGATACATAGGTCTGTTCCAGGTAGAGCTGGGGGAGTCTGGGGGCTGGACACACCCTGTTGTATTGGCCTCCCCCCATAATGGGGAGCGAGTATGGAGGGGGATATTGAGATATCGGAGGTTTGACTATGGCTGTGGTTTGAAAGGTTGGTTTGGTCCAAGGGAAAGACAGATGTGAAACGTGGGCCTAAAGGGTCAGCTCTGATTGAATGTGTGAAGAGGTGTCAGGTCAAAGGTCTCTGTGAAATAGGTAACAAAGGAGAAGGCACAGGTTTAGGCAAATGGGAGGAGTTTTGGGTTTTCTCCAGGTCTCTGGCTCTCCCAACTGCAGACGGGGCATAAAACTTTTGCCAGTAGCAGAGAACGCTTGATGCAGAGCCGGAAGTTTCTGGTAGCTGTGAAAAATCTCCAGATTTGCTTCGAAACACCCAGCAGATGTGAGTGTTTTTTAGAGGTCACAGGAATGGGTGGCCACACGCAGTGAAGGGTTGTCGCGAGCCCAGCTGTAGTGTTCTACAAGTACTCGTGAAATGAATGGGTGAAGGATAGTGCTGAGTCTCACTGATGACACCTATTAGAGTAACTTTAGTCAAGTCACCCAGAGAAGGTCTGCAGGAGGGGAGGCAGTGCCAGTGCAAGAGGACCTCAGCCCCTGAAGGTGTGCAAAGTTCCCTCTCTCCCAGGAGCTGGGTGACCCGGCATAGCTGTAGCCGGCTCCCTCCTGGGCCTGAGCCAGAGAGTGGCTCCTGGGCGCCTTAGCCAGGGGCCCAGGCGAGGGTCGCCTGGACCGCCAGGGCGGGAGATAGCAGGGTGGTGGGGGCGGGCCCCGTCCGGCAGAGTCGGGGGCGGGCCAGGCACTAGCCGCTCCCCTGGTCGCCTAGCGGCCCACGGCGGCGCTCGCGGTCTCTCACCCCGCGGGCGAGTTCTGGGAAAGCCCGGCCCAGGGCGGGGGCCCTCGCCGCCCCGCTCGGCTTGGCTCCGGGCAGCTCGCACTGCTGAGGCGAGGGACGCGCGGGCTGCGCCCGAGTGCTGGCGGGCGGGGACGGGACGTGCGGGCAGCGGGCTCGAGCAGTGAACAGCAGCAGCGCGCCCCGCTGGGCTCCCGGGCACTGGCCCCGCTCCTGAGCGCTCCTGGGCACCGGCTGTGCGGCTGACACTCGGAAGCCAGGACTCCCCACGCCTCCTGCGACGCGCGCGCGCGGACGAGGTCCCCGAGGGACAGGCTACTCGGGGACCGCCGCACGACTGGCTGGAGATCTAAGGTGAGCCTGCGGCTCTGCCGCTGGGTCCCCAAGGACCGCGGACCCGGAGTGCTCCGGCCTGGGTGCTCTCGGGGCTGGAGTCGCGCCCAGCAGCAGCCTGACTTTTTGTACCTGGTGGCCCAGCGGCTCCCGCCTCCCAGGGGACAGCCCATCCCTCGGGGAATGTGAGGCTGGAGGTCACCCGGTGACCCCTCTTTGGCTCACCACTTCATGCTGTGTGTGTAGTGTGAAAGTGGCCAGCACAAAGAAAAGTAGGAGTCCTTTTCGCGGCGGGACTCGGCAACATATTTCAAGGAAAGTTCTCAGACATTGTTTCCGGAGAGATTTATCTGCAGAGTCCTAGGAAATACAATGCAGGACCCGTCTCACTGTAACCGGTGACGTCTAGAGTGGTTATCTATGCTTTTTCTTCAAAGTCCCTCTAAATAACCAAGATGCACGCTCTAAATAACCAAGATGCACGCAGTTCTTTGGCGAAGATACGTGCTAAGTGCATAGTGTAAATACGCTTCCCGCTTAAGCCAAGCCACACTTGGTTCGATTGACTGAATCAATTAGTATAAGAAATTTTCATCATTAAATTATTTCAGTGTTTTTTTAAAAAAAAACTCTCTGAGTGGATTGCTAGAGTTGACTTTGCTAAAAACTTTTTTTTTTTGTACATAGCTCACAATTCCATCAGTATTGGTGGGTTTCCTTGACTTTCTTGAAGGAGCCCCCTGTGGGGGCAGGGTGAAGCCAAGGCTGCAGAATAGCTAAGACCAGGGACTTGGGAATCCTGGAGGAATAGTTGAACACCAGTCTGGGGAGTGGTTGCAGGTGGTTCCATACACAGATGCCAGTCTGGGGTCCTAGTTGTCAGTTCAGGAAGAGGCGGCTATCCCTCAGTTCCTAAACACAGCCCTGGCTTTTCTGACGAATGCCTGGCAGTAGTCTCTAGAGCCACGGTTCTCAACCTGTGGGTTGCAACCCCTTTGGGGCCCACCGACCCCTTCACAGGGCTTGCCTAAGACCATCGGAGAACACAGATGTTTACATTACGATTCCTAACAGTAGCAGAATTACACTTTTGAAGTAGCAATGAAAATAATCTTATGCTTGGGGGTCACTACGACATGAGGAACTGTGTTTATTAAAGGGTCACAGCGTTAGGAAGGTTGAACGCCACTGTTGTAGATGTACACTCTTCTTCACTGACTTCCCCCAGTCTCCCCACCCGTGGCCATTCTAAAGGGTAAACAGCCTTCACTCTCAAGTTTGCCGCCCCTCTTTGATCCTGGTAGACCTGTGAGATTTATGCAGATCTCTCTCTCTCTCTCTCTCTCTCTCTCTCTCTCTCTCTCTCTCTCTCTCTCTTTGCCCCAGCCAAGGTATCTGCTCTCTGACTTTGCTGAACTGATGTTTACATTTGGAAGGCTCTCTAGAAATAATTATGGGCAGGTATTAAATATTAAGACTCAGTTTTGTACATAATAAAGCTCCATTTCAGAGGAGTTAGTGTAACCAAAGGGATTTAGAGACGCATTTACCAGCAGCTTATCCTTTGCTTACAGCCCCAAGGAGCAATTTGCCTTGTGCTCAGGAGTGCCTCCTGGTCATCTTTGGCTCAAGACCAGGTGAGAGGTGAGATTAAGCCGGAGGAGCATTCTTCCCCCGCCCTCCTCGTAAGACAAGCTTCTTGATGCATTCCAGATTTGACCTTTGTCATAAAAAAAATTCATACTTAGGCATAAGGGGTGAAGCTAGAGACCAGTGAAGGTTGTTGGTTTCCTTTATCTATGGACAACGGTTCTTGGTTACATGTTTCTTTGGTCTTCTATCTTATACTTGATGGCTGGCATTTGTTTGGTGTGTGTAGTTTGCTACAGATTCCTAAACGAGTAAAGGAAATTTGAAAAGTTGAGGAGTTTTGTAAGTAGAGGGGACACTTTCAAGCATTATGTCTGTCCTGCAGGTTTGTGTTTGTTGGCAGTCCCTGCTTTCCACATGCAGCCTGCAGAGGACAACTGATACAGTCCTGGTTCCTACCCTGTTCCTTAGGGACCACTTGACAAGTGATGGGAGGCATGGATGGGACTTAGAGAAGCATGTAGCCTGGTGAACCTTGGGCGGGGAAGACAAGAGCTGTGGATTGATGGAATGGGGAATGGAAAAAGAGGAAGGATGTATCAAAGGGCACCAGCTGTGAGGCCTGGCAAGGAAGTTAAGAGTCTCCCTCTTCCCCTTTGCTTCAGGCTTGTTAATTTAATGTTAATTCAGTTGAGTTATGGCTTAAGTAGGTTTCCACGGGCCAGATTGGGAGCATAGCTCTCTGTGGCTGTATTGTCAATATGGTAGCCACTAGCCACATATGATTAAGTTTAAATGAGTTAAAAATAAATGAAATTATCTGCATCTAAGTGCTTGGATGCTTCACGTAGCTATATACACAGCACAAATACAGGACACTGCCATCACCGCAGAAAGGCCCACCCTAGAGAATTGTTTCCACAGAGTTGGTTTTCAAAGGGAACAGATTTGCAAATGAAATCTTTAAAGCTTCCTGTTTATAACTCTCCCCGTCTATATTGATGAAAATAACACTAGACAGCAGGTCACATATGTCATCTGTTAATGTATTTCATTCGTATGGCATTGGGCAGAAGTGCTAGAGACCTGACCCCTTACCTGCAGCCTTCTGTGGATTTATATTTCGGCAACAAAACTTGGTCCAGCCTGGTGTGACTTTGCAATCGTCTCCTTTTCTTAGCTGGCAACAACTGTTTATACATCTTCAGAAATAATGGACAGACACGGGATGTAGTATTGGACATATATACCCTTTATGTGGACACAATCAAAATGACTTCTATATTTCATGGCTGGTTTCTCAGTTTCTGCTGAGGAATGTATAATTCTGTTGTTAAATCCACACTGAAGATGACAAAGCAGAGGTAACGGAAGGCTAACGTGCATTAAAGTCACAGCGAAGCCTAATCTAAGCAGATTGGCTCTGGAATCTATTCTCTCGAGCACTGTGCTGTCCTGCATCTGACTTTGAGCTTATGATTCACACAAGTGACTAGGTGAAACTTAATAACTTTAATCCGGCCCATTGGGAAGTTTCAGATAAGAGTAGAGCTAAATCGTTTGGTGGTTGAGGGTTGAAAGCTTTGACTACCCAAGCCATCTCATCACGCATGCCCAGCAATGGTGCAGCTTGCCCGGTCCCGCCCTCTGCCAGTGACACTCAGACTTTTAGCCATTGGCTGTGTGAGAACTGGAAAGAAAAAGAGGTCATTTTTTGATACTTAGGGATAGTAGAGACACAACTGGGCTGCGTTGAAAGCCATGGAACAGGGGGGCTTGTATCCCTAAGTGCTGCGGTGGAGGCAAGGACTTGTTCCCCAGCTCAGTGGCAGAGCTATTATGCTGGGCCACCAGGATCCCCAGGCTTTTCAGCCTGTTTCATCGGGTCTAGATTCACCTGACCCAGTAAGAGCTCTCTCCGGGAATTCACATGAATCTTTCTTTAAGTCATGGAGCATCAGGGTTGTTTGAGCTAGAGACAGGAATGACCTTCTTACATCTCCTTCCCCCCAGGAAACCTCAGGTGGCTTCTTCTTGGCTTTTTGGAAACCCCAAAGTTTCTCTTTTGTAAATGGGGACATGTTCTGAGTGCTCTGCCATCTGTGTGTTCCTTTAACCAAGGACTCTGCGGGACCCTTTCTTTAGTGAGGGGACATGAGTGCCTCTCGTCTTGAAGTTTCCTGATGGTTGTGTGCCTTCTCCCACCAGCTAGTGTGACTTAAAGATAGGTTCAGACATCCTTCTTGTCAAAGGCAAAGTATCTAGACCCAAACTTGCCAGAGTATACTTAAGTCTTGCCCCAGACAGTTCTTAAAAAACAATATTTTTAAAGGTAATTAAAAATGATTTGCCCAAAGCAAATTGCATAGGCTCTTATATAGCATATACTGACTATTCAATAAGTTAGCTACTCGCACTATTGTATCTTCGCTGTGAGAGGATGTAGTTTGGGGTTTGGGAGGTGCATGTGGGAGGTCAAGGGTGAGTCCTTGGCATCCGTGGATACACTGCTTTATATGACCAAATGGAGTCGGCAGATGTGTTTAAAGTAAGGCATTTTCCTGGATTTCTGTGTAGGTTCAATCTCATCACACAGCTCCTATAAGAAGGAGATGGAAGGCCAGAGTTTGTAGAGAGAGATAAGTCATATGATGTAAAGAGAGGAAAAGGATGCAGGCAGATAGCTGGTAAGACACCAGCCTAGCATATTTGAGGCTCTGGGTTTGATCCCCAGCCTGAAGGGTGGAAAAAAGGCAGGAAACTGAATTCTTTCCTAGAGCCTGAGGAAAAGGCTCGCAACCCATCGGAGCCTTCTGACCTCCAAGGCTGTACGGTGACAGATTTGTGTTATTTATTTCAGTCAGGTGTAGTCATTTGTCACAGCAGTTTAGGAATCAGGACGCAGCGTGGAGGAGACATTGGAGAGCGGTCCAAAGCTACCTAAATCAGAGAGCAATGAGCCGGCCTTTGCTGAGCGCTTTGCCCGAGGCGCTGCCTCTGAGTGCTTTGTGAGCGTTTAAAGGGTTTAACCTGCAGTCCTAGGAAGTGATCATCTGCTGGCTGCAGGAGCAGACAGAAGTCTGAGTCTTGCCCAGGCTCCCACTAGTGCAGGTACAGCCGTGTTGTGGGTCCAAGTCTCTCGGTGCTCTTCACTGGGAACCCCACCATCCCCAAAGCAGGTACCTGAAGCCTTCACCTTTGAATGGCTGTAGGTAAGGGAAAGGCAATGTTTGATTTGGTGAGAAGGGCAGTGTAGCTGGTTTTATTTTCCCTTCAAATGCTGATGATTGAAGTCCTGTTGAGTTCTTGTCGTTCTTAAGTCACAGTGCTCCGACAGCTGCAGCCGGAGGAACAGGCTGGGCAGGCAGAGCTGCCTGCACCCCTGCTCCCACCTCCATTCCCGCTGGACCTCCCTCCTCACCACAGGCTGC